TAAGTTGAACTGAGATTCAAATTAATCTGCGTTGGTGGAAACGGGCCTTAGAAATAATAAACTTATAGATTGTTGATAAATTATTTTTTTCTTTTTAACGTAATTAATACTAAAATTACCGATTAATTTATCTCTATTTCTATTATTATTTAAGTGTATTATATTATTTATATATTCTATATTTTTCTGAAAAATGGGAGAAAGTAAATTGATCAAATTAATTATTAGGTGCGCAACTAAGTTCTCGCTGTTATTTTGACATATCACAACATAATGTACTATTACAAATTTAAATAATTCTTATAAAAGATTACAAAACAGTCATTTTGACTGCTATTATTAATAAATATGTTATGCATTTAAAAGTACTAAATATTTGGGATTTTTTTTTATTACAATTTTTTTATTTCTTTCGTAATTTAAAATGATTAGAATGATTAATAATCATATAAAATTTTATAATCTTTATGTTGTATTATTTACGTGAAATTAATGAATTTTTTTATAACAATTTTTTGATAACAATTAATATTTTTAATTTAATATGTAGAGAAAAATTCCGTCTTAAAAAAAGCAATTAATTTTTTCTGAAACTTAATCTGTAAAATGTAATTTCCATTATTTTTTTAAGATATTGAAAGTAAATAAAAGTAAATAAAACAAAAGTAAATAAAAATAAATGAAAATTGTTGCTCGTATAGTTCCAAAAATTTTAGAATTGATATGAAGGAAGTTATTTTTCAGATGGATTGCCACGAAATTGGATTTAAACAAAGAGAATGATAAGATAATCGACGTAGGATGTGGTAATGCAATGACTTTGGTGGAACTCGCAAAAGAAGGATTCGCGAACTTGATAGGGGTGGATTATTCACAGAAAGGGATAGATCTGGCCCGTATCGTGTTGAACGATAATAATTTGTCGAATATAAAAATAGAGATTTGTGATATACTCAACAACACATTGCCGCATGATTTTAAAGTCGTTCATGATAAAGGCACTTATGACGCTATTAGTTTAAATCCAGAAGATTCGATGGCAAAGAGACAGAAATATATAGAAAATATATATCGCATTCTTTTGCCAGGAGGATATTTTGTCTTGACATCCTGTAATTGGACCAAAGAAGAATTGCTGAAGCATTTTGCGAGTCGTTAGTACAATTATTAATTAAAATTTTAACTCTCAATACGCTACAGCCATGACAACTACACTTAAGTTCTAAAGCATCCTATTTGAAGTATAGAAGCAAGTGAACCTCTACCTTATGATAATTAAGGAAAGTTTAAATTGTTTATCTACAATTTAGAGCCTCACATAGTATTGGAATGAAACAAAAGTTTGTAATGCTACGAACTTTAAAATTCAAACAGCTGTAACTTCGTTAAAAATAAACGAAGTTTAAATTAAAGAAAAGGGTTTTAAAGCTAAATCTCTACTTTCAAAAAGTTACTATGTCTTTTCAGTTTCTGTGAGTTTATTAACTTTTACATATAGAAAACTTTTATATAAAGAAAACAACAAGTTGGACAAAATAGGAAACTTTTTTTACTTTGTGATCTGTCGGGTACAAAAAAGTTTGCGAAAATTTTTGATTTTTTATAATAGTCTTTCTGTGAAAACTTAAAATTTTTCTTACAAAACTTTTTTTTTAATTTTCCTAAGATATTTTTTTTAATTATCACGATTTAAATAAAAAAAGCACTTTGATTGATCAAATTCTATCATTGTACCGCAATTAAAAAGGATTTTTAAAGCTGAAACTTTGTTCTATCGAATGATACATATATATATAATTGCTAATTTTTTTTAAATATGTAGATATGTTACAAATAAAATAACGCTACGAACTTTTGTTTTAACCTAATACTAATTGTATAGATTGTATATATCATCTAAAAATTTTTATTTCAAATTCAAATGACCTATTGTAATCAAGATTGATATGTATGTACTTTAATTGAAATATAAATCATTAAATATTAGTTGAAATACTAATTATATAATTGTCATATAATTGTTATTATGTATTATTTAATTTATTATAATATTCTATCAATTATCGCTCGTGCATTTATTTACGATTTCTTCGATTATGAACATGTATTTTTTCTCATAAAATTAATGCTTTCATATCATTGTCTTTGGAATATTACGAAGATGATCTCTTCGAATGCATATGCATAACTCGATTATTATTCGCAGATTTTGAACTCAATAATCAACTTCCTACGGATACGTTCCAATTTGGCGGGCAAACAGGAAACACTGTAACACAATTGATATTTAGAAAAAAGTGACAATGGAAAAATTCAGGGATACCATATTAAGATAAATAAAATAAATAATTGTGTCTAATTTGTAAAAAATGTATGTTTGATACTTACTATTATGAATACCTTTTATTCAAAAGAATAAATAAATACGTATTGCGAAAAGATTCAAGAATTTATTTGTGCAAGAACTATCCAAATACATAAAACGACGTTAGGGTGTGATCAATAGTTAATGCTATGTTTTTTTCTTGATCATTATTACATTACAAAGTTTACAAAAGATACTTACACTATAATAAATTAAACTCGGCCATTAAATCTATGCGATTAGTATGATAGCGAAAAAATAAATATTATTTATCTATTGTAAATATTATCTTGAATGTATTTATGTTAGTAATTGAAGTATTGATTATATTTGTAGTTGGCAAAAGTTTATATTTTTCATAAGAACTTATTTTATTATTGCATATTTAAATCGATTTGCAAATTTAAAATGAAATTGATATAACATTTGATGAACATTTGAATTATAATTGAATTTGAGAAGAATTAAAATTCTAAAGTATTTAGATAATTGTGTGTCGTTTGCAATTTTGTGAGAATTTTGTCTTTCTACGAATCTTTTTTTTTAATGTATACTTTGTGCATTGAGAAAAATATGGCAAAGGATAAATCATTTTAGTATATTGTATTATAATATATGCATGTTTTTTTATAAATATTTTTATCCTTTAGTGCAATTAAAATATTAAGCTTAATCACATATATCGCAATAATTTACTATCAAAGCATTATTCTGTTATTTCAAATTCTAAAAATAGTCAAATTCAACATCTAATACTAAATTTTATCTGATATTATATTAATATTATATATTGTTTTAGTCTTCCGCACTCGCACGTGTTTATTATAATTATTATAACTATATAACAGATAAGAAAATATGGTAATAGCAATGAAATGGTAAGCTATGATCACACACAAGAAATAAAAAAATTTATATAAAATAATGAATTTGGTGTTTATCCTAATTTAATTGCCATTATAACAGATTTTCTAATTGTATACATAATAATATTTTCTAATTGTAAGAATTTTAATTTTTTGACTCCCAAATAGGCCGAATTGTTTCCTAAATCGCTCTATGGATGATCGCTCATTTTAGAATAATTCTACTAGATTTTTATAATTTTTAGAATTTTTTGTAAGCGTTTATTTTGAGACAAATAAATGCATAATGTAATTTTCAAAAAGCTTTCGAAAAGATATTATTAAAAGATATTATTTGATTCTTATTCGCCTCTTTTAAAAATATTATTTTATAATTATTTTAAAGAGTTAACTTTTATTTAAAAAATTAATATTAATTTAATAACATTAAGTTACTTGTAGAATTGTTTATTATTAACAAATTGTTCAAGAATTATAGAGTGTACTAAAAAAAAGTATTACTATAATAATTATTATAATTAGAGTTTTAAAGATATTCTACATCCAAATCAATAAAAATAAATGACATTGTATTATATTTTTATGCATTGATCTGTTTATTTATTATTTTAATATTATTTTTAACACCATACTATTATATAAAAAAGTTTTTGAAGTCAGTTTCTTGCCTCTGAGAATTTATGTCTGAGAAATCAGAGTGGGAGTCGAAAAATTAAAGTGCTTAAAATATTAGTGCTTAGAATATAGACGAGTACGAAGGATCGGTTGCTTATTTACGATTGATGATTGACAGTTATAAGTGATTCAGAATTGACGTTCACTTTTTTAACTTACTTTCATTACGAACATAAATTGTAGATTAATAATTAAATTATATTCTTAATACAATAATAAAAAATCATGTATAATTGTTGTGTAATCGTGAAAGTTTTCTAGATGAGGCATAATTGTTTATTCCCACGGATTTCTAAAATTAAAAAACAATTGGAAACTCTAAATCACTTATTGTTTCTCACAGGAAAAATTCGAAAACATTTAAATTTGTTTTCATAAAATTTAAAAATACAGTATTTTATATATCTTATCACCAGCTATATAAAACTGTCGATTATGAACTGATATATTGATTATATATAGCTAATAAATAAATGTGGAAATAATTCTCTAATAGCGTTTTTGAATGCAGTAAGTTTAACCCAGATCACATTAATGACGTCACATGCTCTACTTTAGTTTCTGATTAGACGAGGTCTTGGTACTTAGGGTTAACTGACTTGGGTTAGGTTCAAACTCGCTGTATTCGAAAACCCTATAAATATAAAAGAAATTAAAGGGAAATATTTTACATGTATTATTTGCAACATATAACTATTCTAAAAAATCGCTACTTTTTCTAAAAAAATGAAATAAGAATAATAACAATCATTTCAGTGTGAAGAAATTAATCTTGAGATGTTTTCAAATTTTATACTACATTATAAATAATGAAATACAACAGTATATTATTATAATAGTATTATAAAATTTAAATAATTTACATAAGATACATAAATATCATTTTATACAATTGTTTATTCAAAATTTATTGATAAAGATAACAATAAACCAAATTTTATTTAAAGAAAAAAATTGTTCCTCTGAAGAACTTAAAAAGAATAACTTTAAGAAAAAGTGCGCACTATTTTATACAAAGGAAGATTCTCTTGTAGTTCATAGTTATTTGACACATAAATGTGCATTACCGTTCTGAAATGTATTCGTACATCTTATTTTTTTTTTTTAATTAAACAGACACTTTTATAGATATAGTATGTATTTCTCAGTGACTTCTCTTTCACTGGTTCGAAGAATTATAATGTTTTTCTACTGTGAGGGTTATCATACAGACTCAGAAGTTCAAGACAATTCTTTAAAAGATTGAATATTTTAGATGTAGTTAAATCTTCCAAGCACAAGTGATGCAGCCAAAATAATCATTGTATTCAACGTAAAGATGGACGAGCAACCTACGAAGGATATAAATATCTTATGCTTTAATTTTTTAATGATGTATGCACACACATGAAATGTGATATTCAATTATCTTTCGTAGATAATTTTACGAGAAAAATTCCAACTTCCGTTTTGTAACAACACAAGCTTGTGATAGTAAATCTTAAAGCAGCTGAAACTATTACATCATTTTATTTCCTAAACTAATTATAGATGCAATATTTAATGCAAAAATTATCATGTTTTCCCAATTTTTAACATAAACTTAATTCGATATATCTTGTTTATTAAGCACAGTAACATGTATATTTATAATAAAATGTATATTTATAATATATTTTATCGCCTAATAGAATATTTTATAATTCAGCCAAAATTAAAGAAAATTAGATGAACTTCATTGAAATTAATACTTACATTTTTTATTGATGTTGAAAGTTTTATTTTAATCATTATTTGCAATTTTCATAATTATTTTACTTAAATTTTTACAAAAAATAAATTTATTTTTTGAACTATATTATTAAGACAGTAATAATAAATGTTACTTTTATGTCAACTGTGTCTAGATATAGTTAGATGTATAATATGTCGTTTCTAACATGTTAATAATAATTTTTAATGTAAAGAGAAATAAATCTTACCGTTACAAATATACAACGATGGAGGTACTTCGTAAAATCCTTCTTCGCAATAACAGCGTCTTCCCATTGTGCTGTTACGCATCACACAGTGAGCATAGTCTATGCATTCTGAATCGGAATTGCAAGATGCATGAAGTGCTAAAAAATAACATAATTTTTAATGCAATTTAAGAGTTTGTATGAATGGTTAAAAAGTGTAAAGCGTGATTTCTTCTTGTATTTCTTAATTTTGTTTACAATTTTTGACCATCTTAAAAAATGAAATACGATATATGTATATATATATAGAGAGAGAGAGAGAGAGAGAGAGAGAGAGAGAGAGAGAGAGAGGAAAGCCCTCTAGTATGAGATAGACGTCTAATATGAGATAGCGGCGTTTCTACTAAACTAATAAACTCTAGCTATTGGTTCCACCATGAATTTATTGCTTTTGGATTGAAAATTATTTAGTAGAAAATTCATTATTAGATTATGCCTGTAGTCATCGTAAAATAAGATTTTAGAATTTGAATGTCTTCAAGTTTCATTGAGATGAGCTTTTAAATCTTATTTATTATTTAATAAATAAATATTTGGCAATAAATTCTTTATGTAGTGATAGAGTAAGGTCGTACTAATAGAAAAATACGGGATATGTTGAATTGTTTAATTACAGAAGTTTTGAATTACAGAAGATTTGATGATCATCATAAAATCATAAGGTATGGAAATCATAATATGAGATACCAGGATATTTCTAATATGAAGTAATCCATGTGTTGTAGTGAAAATTGTTGCTAAAGTATAAAAAAAAGACAACCGGAATAAATGTTGAGTGCCTATTTCTGCGATACTTGATTCTAACTATTCGAAGACGAGTTCTGGGTACAATCTATCGCATACTCATTTTCCGCACACGATGACTGTGTTTGTTTGTATTTCAGAAACATTAAATAAAGTTTTTTTTAATTGCAATATATTTTGCGTTTTACTATCGATTTCTCGGGGCATCTCATATTAGGAGCACAATTTTTTGACTTTGCGATTTGCTCTCTTTTTACATTCTTTTAATTTAAAAAAAAAATGGAATTTGATTTAATTAAACTTTATATAACGTTATTTTAAAGCTTATTAAATTCCCTTCAAAATGATCTATTATTTTTTTTAATTCCTATAGTTTTCTGGCATTTACTCAAAATGAACTCGGTATCTCATAAGAGGCTTTATATACAATAAATAATGTACAATGTATACAACAAATATAATATTATATTTACAAATTTATTGTTTACCAAACCCTATTCAAATTTACGATTTATATATCATTTTATATGATTTTAATTATTGTAAATATACAGTCTATTTAATTTTTCGAGCATGAATATAACTTTTAAGCATCGATCGATTCGTAATCACGATTAATCACCCTTAAAATGTTCGCTAGGCAATCATCGGCAACTTCGCCAAAAGAAGGGAAACATGCACAGTGATCATTTAATCAAATGAAATTGCCAAGTTTCCGAATCGTTTCACGAGCCTCTAATACTACGTATCGAACTACAAATTGCTTCGTACACGTTATATGATTTCCAAAGTTTCAAAATCTATTGTTGCATCGTACCAGGTACGGTTTATTGCTGTCACTTATAATAATTTATTATCAATTAGGTAATGCAATTTAGTATAAGAACCATATAGTTACGTCTTTAATTATATATATATATACGAACATGTTTCATAATTTGTAAAATATTATAATAAATTTATGTCATCTTCTTTCTTTCAAAATTAATGACTAAATCTACTGTTTTTACTGTTATTGCCATTCTACATTCACGCATTTTCTTGTCGTAAAAAAAAACCTACAGAAAAACGAGTTCTAACTACTGAAGGTAGGTCGAGGCGGTACTCCTTTACTCGTACCAATTTGCATAGATAACCATAGACCGGCTATGAACAGTATCACACGTGTGTTCACGTATTGCAATGTAGCACGTAAGTTTATGCAAATCTTGGTACTACATTCTTATTAAGACAAATTTCGAAATTTGACTAATTTCAACAAATTATAATAAAGCAATAAATATAACTATACATGCGAGACATAAAAAATATTATAAGCATAAAAGTAGAAAATATTTTTAATATATTTGCTCATAAATTTAAAATCAATTTTCTGATAAAAATTGATTTACCTTTGAATTTATAAGTGCATGCACCATTAAGTGGTGCTGAGGTATCGGCGCAAAGACATCGACGTCTTCCATCTCGGGGATCTGACATGCATGTTGTATTTTGAATTCCAGCACAGTCGGTTTCCATCGTACACTCGCGAGCTTTACCAGCTGCAATTGTATTATACCATGTATAAAATATCATTCTATAGAAACTATAATTTTATTTGACCTTTAACTAGTTCAATGCATTCTTAGTTTCATAAAAATTTATGCGATATTATTTTAACAGATTACTAGAAATTATATCTAGATAATAACTGAGATTCTGCAGTAATCAATTCAGGAGTGGGACGTTATAGAATTCAAAAGCATTCGTTATGCTTGTTATTTATTCTTGTATATAGAAATGTGATAGAAATGTGTATGTCTCAAAATTTTACAGATTTTGCAAATCAAAATATTACAGCGAGAAAGTCATCACTATAATTATCGATACGTCAAACAATCGTTTAATCATAATCTGTAAATAATCAATTTTAAACTTTTATATCTCAAAAACTACTACTTGAATAGAAACATGTCAAATAGTTTTTAACTTTTTTTTTCAAGAACTTTCTTCCTGTGATATTTTAATTTCAGAATGTCTTGTATATCATTTTCTTTATATTAAATTTATCTAATAAATCTATAATTCTATAATTCTTTAATATTTTTTAATATATGTATAGTTATTTTATAAATAGAGAATTTTTACTTGTAAT